TTACATTGATAAAAATAGCAAATTTTAATATATATTTGTGTATGTTTGAATAGATTTAAATAAATATTTATTTATTTGATATTATATACAAAAAAACTATTAATTGGATCCAATTATCTTGTTCTTATTGAGTAGTATAAAATATTTATTTACTGTTGTCAAGTAAATGTTTATTATTCAAAAAAATATGTATTAAGATTAAGTAAATGTTTTTCGGTGTAGAATGAAAAAAAAAAGGACATCCGCGAGAGAGAATGAAAGAAACGTTTCTTTTTATAAACACCGTGCTTTTGCGTGCCGTCTAGGCATATAGCTTCGTGCAATCGTACGTTACGGTATCGTGATTTTCATACAACGCGCACAAAACAGTTCTAATTACAGTGCGCGAATCTGAGCATGATGTCATCTCGTTCGCAGAGATTGGAGTAACGGCACGCAAAGTTGTAGCTCTGACGGTTTCGCGCGCGACTTCCGTGTCGACTTCCAGAGAGACCGGAAGTGCATAGAGCAGCTGCAACAATCGCGACGAGCACCGTCGCTTAGTCACGTGATCCGTAGCGAGCCGTATAAAAGACAACGAGGAAAGGCCTTCGATCATCGTGACACGCTTGTATGCACGTGTGTACGTTACACGTACGTGTTCGTGTCGTTCTACGCGCATGAATGCGTATCGGGCTGCGATTGAGTATTCCGCCTGTAGCATCGCTCCACAAGTTTAAACCGTTTCGCAACAGATTATACGCGCCTCTTCCTGTAATGGCCAGGTTTGCGCGCGAGCGCTCACGTCACGTACGCACGCACACACGCTTGTGCGTGAAGGCGCACGGTTCACTTGAAGAGATGATCGTTCCACGGGGAGGAACGACTTGCCTTTGATTCCATGAGAAACTAGACTGACGCAGGAAGATTCGACGCGTTTATGTCTCGGGGGGGCTACAAGAACTCTAATCTAAAAGAAAAACGTTTCCGGAGAGCAAGTGTGCCCTGCGCAAATATTTCAAATATTGTATGCGCGCAGGATTTCATGGAAGAAATATCAGGAACAGCAATCGATATTAAATATTAGAAATAAGAAAGTGAATGTAACGCATAAATATGTCTTATATCTTATCTGTATTCGTTGTGCGTTATGTTTAATCTATATTAGTTTTTTATTAAAAATATTTTTAATCTATATTTATTTCTAATATTTCTTCCGTTACGTGTAGGATCTAACTTTGGATGCAGATATAAAATTTATCGTGTTTATTTGTATGTTTACATGCTTTTATGCCTCGAGATGAATTCCTGAGCTAGTAAGAATGACTGATTACGAGTGAATATTTATAGATGAATACGGACAAATGTATGGAGCCTCTTTCATTTGATCGAAAAGAAGTGAAATACCATCCAGGCTTATTGAAACAAGTTTAGAGTGCCAGTTCGTTTTTTTTCTCTCTCTCCGATAATTCTATATACAGTCAAATAAAACGTGTCGTTATTCATACAGCATCACATTCATCGCGACTGGTCGCGAGAATTATCTTCTCGAAGCAGAGAACGAGATTCCCACTCTAGAACGACATTCTCCAACTCGTTCAGCTCCGCCAATGAATGTAACGCGTTCACATATGGACATGGAGGACATGCGATTTTTCGCGCGGTCATTAAAAGCTGTACCGCACCGGTCGCTGACTTTCTGGCAGTTGCACTTAATTAATAAATAATTTCATCGTTTTATAAATATCCGATCCACGGATATTTCAATCCGATGGTGAATAATGTCTGCAGGTCAATGTTTTCAACGACTCACGCTTACGCATGCAGGTGAATTCCGATTTCCGAGAAATGATCTACGCGATTGATCACGAGAGGAAATTGCCGCTAATTGCCGAAGATGGGAGGTTGGAAGAAGTTAAATGATATTAATTTTAAAATCTCGGTTCAACTCTTTATTTTTTTCAAATTCTGAGAATTAGAGAAAGATGAACCGAGATTGAAGTTAACCTACATTGATATAAACGAGAAAGCAAGAGTTACAACTCAATTACTTATAAAAACAATTTATCTGATGTATACTTCCGTCGGCCTTGGTTTCATTGAATATAACACACACTTGAGTATGATTAAATAAACTAGCAATGTAGCGGTTTGACAAAAAGTTAAAGAGGAAGAAGTTACGGTAGTCTGATGAAATAAAAAGCGCATTTTGCATTCGAGGGCTAGGGGAATTTCTTATCTTATCCGTTACATGCAGGATTTTCTAATGATACGGTTCGGTTACTATTGTAAATCATATGATAATTATTGTAGCGGTTGATATGGAGAATACGGAGAATACGGGATAAGCAATGGCGTTTGTTACAAATTGCTTTCGTGCGAAAGATTTCCATTATGTAAAAGTAGTGCCAGGAATGTATAATCTTGTGCTCATTGCCGTGCTTAACAATGCCATTTAACAGTTAGCACGAAAATGTTATGTAGGCACGCCTTTTGCTTTTGCAAAGAAGAAAATTGGAAGTCTTACACGTTCAATTTGACGCTGCAGACAATAATTCCTTAACAACTTGCAACATTATGTAACGTTTTATTTCGCTGGAATATACAATTGATTTTTTAAACTATTTTTTGAATTGCCATTCAAAAAATATGTCACTTTCTTTCTAACGATACATGATTATAACACAATACATAAAATTATCATAAATTTATTATCCTTACTAAGAACTAATCACGAAATTAAACGTTACATTACTAGATTACTCAATTCTTCCTTCATCATTTTAATGAAAGAGAAAAGTCTCCATTTGTCTGCTCGACTACATAACGGGTAAAAGTTGCAGCCGTTGGCACGTGATTTGTCACTCTCGGTGCTCCAGAGTGACTCGCTTCTATCGGCACTCAACAAAACCCCGTTGATCTCGCGCGTTAAGCAGGAAGACACGTTGCCTTTGGTTTGGCACGTTCATTCATGACACTGGTAAGAGATGCACAAACGCGATGACAACGATAGCACAACGAGGGGATTAACAAAAGCGTCCGCGTCTATTCAACTCGGGCTCGTATAATTTCGCCGTGCGCGGAAGAAAAGTAGAAGAGCACGAATGACGAACGTGTAGGTGTGAATGATACTCGCGATTCGAATTCAAGAAGCCGAGAGATGAAGTCTAGGCAAAATGTTGCAAACGATGATTAAAGCGAACGTTTGACCAATAATTTCGATATAGTCAAATTAAATTACGATAATAAAGTGATAATAGAAATGATTTTAAAAACGATGAAGAATATCCAAAAATATGATAAAAACTAATAAACTATTATATATTATTAACATCTAAATAATGAAGTAATTAATTATAAATGGACGGATTAAATGGTAATTCTTGTTGGTAAAAATATATCATTTAGCGCAAATATTTCGTACATTGCAGTCAGTTGATATAATTTCTTTCACACATTTAGAGCAAGAGCATTCTTTCCGAAACGTGTCTCTTGGCACAGTTTACGAATCTTCGACTGCGTGCCGCTCTTCTAAATAAACGTCACCTATAAGATGCAATGAAGAATTCCCACGCAGCCGTTGCTGCCGCCCTTTGAGGTCAATGATCTCTTTGGATATACAAGCGAGTCATGTGAAGCGATTAGAACTACTATTGTTCAAGACTTCTAGTATAGTGATAATTTATATTTGGGAGTAAGCTACCGCGCGATAAATTATTGGAACTATAATTAAAGTTTGGTGAAGACAGTTTCAATTACGTTTGTATTTGATATCTTCTTTTTATAAGAAAGTGTTTTAAAGAACGAGCGGAAGGTAAATGTAATATTTCATACTACAAGTTTATGTAAATTTAATTGTTTCCAATTGAAAGTTTTCAATGATATTCTTCTTGTATTTATTACATTTAAAATGATATTAAATTTCTCAAGAATTAAATTCCTTGTCTCAATAAATTTTAATTGCATGCGATTATCGGCTCTTATTGTTAAATAATTTAGACCTCACTTGACCGCGTCGGAAACACAATTAATCCTAATTTGATTGATCTAATCCGAAAGAGTTAAAGACGGCTTTTAGCAATCTTTATCACTACGTACACCTGGAGCAGTATTGTAGCTGCCTAAGATGATTACGATGAGAGCACACCTAACTACACTGTGGCACCGATGAGAGATTAGTTGTATCGCAAAAATGCTTACTAGTTCTCGCGTTTACGTCACGACCATAAATCCATGTCTGACTCTCTTTCGATGGTAGTGGCCGCTTAAACGCGGCGACAGAACGCCACGGCTGAAGACAAGAAAAAAAGCGTGGGTTATCTGTAGAGAGTGTATACCGTTATGCACTGATCGTATCGCTGCACTTTCGCGATTATGCAATATTTGCCGAGGAGCAGAGTATTTTGACTTACGGTCTCTGTAATCGAAAGACGAGGTACTCTAAAGGCATTCCCATTTTGAATCTCCGATGAATCCTTTTATGACCGCAAAAAACCGCAACAAATATGCGCATCGTTCAATTAGTTGCGAGTTTGTTTGAAGATTGAAAAAGTTTTAAATATATAAAGAAGAATCGATACATTTTTTAAATACATTTTTTAAATAATATAATCTATAAATAATATAATAATATAAAATAATAATATATAGCACTTTCCTTGATATATTACAATTTAGTTGTAAAAATAATTATTTTATTTTCTTTTATAAATATAAAATTTTATATAGTTTTGAACGTTTTTAAATATATATATATATTATATATATTATTCATTTATAAACGATGCATTTCGATGCACTAATCTATGAAAAAATTAAAAGATCGTTATACGAATGCATGTCATGTCTTCGTCAATGTGCACGAATGAAAATTCAGCTGGTCGTGAGCCGCGCAAAATGTTTCTGCGAATAATTGCCTAATTGCCAATGAAACGATAATGAAAACGTACGCTTTTATAATTCATCCAATTATCATGGACTCGCGAAACTCATCTTCGCTGTGTGGCTTTTGTCTGTTTCAGGAGTAACAAGTACCTGCAAAAATCGTCCATCAGCCGCGTGTGCGCCGTCGGAGGTTTTTTCATTAGTATCCCTGTCTTCTTAACTGGTAAGAACGAAACGCTTCTTTTTGTTATCAAACTACACGAATCGCGCTGATCCATGTCTGGAAAAATAAAACCTCCGTATGGAGACCTGCAACAAGAATAATTCGAACTCTTGAAACTCTGAAAAAGTTACTTATAATTATCCACTTATTGTATGTCATCGTAACATCACGATATTAATTCCGGATTTGTTGTGCTTTACAGGTATGATTTTGTACACTTTCATCCAGTTCCATTCGACACCGGCGATTGTCACGTCGGTCTTCATCGGCCTTGGCATTGTGTTTTGCGGATGTGCTATGGTTCACAACGTCTTCGTATGGCAGAAAGTGAGTGCGCCTGAAAGTGCATTTTTTTTAAAACACTTCCACCTCTCCACTGTCTGTGATATCCTTTTCTCTCTTCGTTCGGCGACCTAACGGCGTGCGAATTTTTTCGATCGTCACGATATGCGGATCTCCGTCGTAGCCAGTTCGCCTCTTTATTTTCTCGTATTTCGTAACCAGCAGACCGGCGATGCACCGGTCTGCACCTCCTTCTCTTCTCCCTCTTCCCTTTCCACCGCGCCGGTTCTATGCCCTTAATCTCTCTCCGCCGTGCCTTATTAGCATATTCCGCAACGGTCGATGTCATTATCACGCTATTATTTATGTCGGTGATCATTCTACCGTGTAATTCGATTCCAAACTGGATCTATACGCAGGATGTGCGTACGTATATGCACATGTATACATACGCATGTACGCGCTAAGCGGACAGTGGTGGACAGTCCGAACGTGTCCGCCGCGCCGTCAAGTTTTTGCCTTGTGAAAAAGAACCTGTGAAAAGATGGCAATATAACTACATAATGTACATGGGATTCTGGGATGATACTTGGATTCGCATTACGTAATTGTGTGATTAAGTGGAAGATTTTGTATAACTGCGATCGTTGCGGTTCTCCCGTCTCTGCGTACACATAATAACATCTCTCCGCGATAAACTTTGCTGACATTTTGCCGCTACGTAAATTGCACGACGAAGAGGATTCTTGTTTACTATTTCTTCTATCCGCAATGCTTCTAGTCTTATGATAACAAGTTTTCTAATATACTTGTCTATTTTTTAACGTGTAATTAAAATACTAGGATCTCGTCATCTTAATTGATACTTCCATCATATCCTTCAATCATATCCTTTTTAATTCTCCTCCTCTTATTTAAATAAAAAATTTTTTAAAAATTTATTGAAAACCAAACAGAATTTTTTATAGAATAATTTTTCTTTTTGTACAACTCGCAGGAGAAGACGAATGCGGTAAAAGCGTTTGCCCGCGAGCAATGCGAGGTTGCGGCACAGCTACAGCGTCAACAGCAGCAGTTGCAACTGCATCAGCAGCAGCCGCATCAGCAGGTACATTCGCAGCATCAACAGCACCAGCATCAACAGCAGCATCACCATCATCATCACCATCAGCAGCTGCAACTGCGACCGACGCTGCATATGGGTTCAAAACTCGGTAGCGGCAGTGGCGGCCCAATGAGCCATTCGACCGTCAGTCTGGCCCAACTTAGTCGCGGCCTTCACCATTCTTATCAGCATCATCCTCACCAGCACCATTCTCATCAGCAACGGCACGTGTCCTCCATGTCGCCACCGTTATTACTGTCATCACCGCATACTGCATCACAGCATAATCATCTGACGTATCGTGGTGGTATCACCGCCGCCGCCGCCGCTGCTGCTGCCGCTGTCGCCGTCACCGCCACACCGTCAACGACACCCGGCGACCGGTCGCCACCGAGTCCCAACGGTGGTGGCGGCGGCAGCAGCAAGCTCAACAGGTCGCAGCACTTACCGCGTGAAATCAGCGGCAGCGTGAGCCCGGGCCTGCCAGCGGCTACGCTTGATCTGAGTAGTGCCGCTACTACCAACAGTCCACATGAATTGTCGACTCTTGTTTAAAGACCTTGAGGGAGTTATGGAAGAATAGACTTTCAGATTTTAGAATTTATTTGGAGACGTATTCTCTAAGACTAGTAGAAAAAAAAATATCTCTCATCATCTTAAATCGATTTTTAAAGACTAAATATAATTTAATAAAATTATTTAGAAACAAATATTATATTTTTCAATAGATATTGTCTAAAAAGAGGGGACCAAAAATTATTGAGGCTGTTGCTGATTATCTTACATTGTTATTATTGTATCATGTTGTAACATTATCACGTTATTAATGTTATCGTCATCACTGCGACATTGTCATTTAGTTGTTTATCCTTTATTTTGATACAATATTCTTGGATATTGACAAAGATCGAGAAGAAGTTATCCGCTAGGATATCCTGCTTTGATAACTACGAATTATCGTTAATTTTTTTTATTACCACATCTAATATTTACAAATCCTTGATGAACAATTATTTATACACTGTCCAAAGTTTTGTTAGATAATTTATTCCAGATTAAGAAATTAACAAGAAATTATTCTCTTCGATTTTGATAAGCTTTGAATATGTTAGTCTCTAGACAAAAATAAGGGACGTATATTTTTTAATAAAGATTCATTTACACTTTTTTTTAGAGTTGTGCACAACTCTGCAAAAAATCGATTTTTTTTCTTTCGAAATGAATATTGTAATTGAAACTGTAAAAAATAGAAAAAAATGTTCCGAATAAAAGTTGAATTTCAAAATAGGCTTCAAAAGTATTTTATAATAATTTTAAAAAATTTGTTTACATAACAAATTTTTATTTATAAAAATAAAAATTAAAACATTTTTTAAATTATAGTTACTAAACGCTCTTAAAATCTTTCAACTTTTATTTCAAACATTTTTTTTCTCATTTCACATTTACAGATATTCACTTCGTAAGTCTAACTAATTTTCTTCAAAGGAGGAAGTTTCCTTCAATTGGATTCTTATATAAAAATAAGTGTTCTTTATTTTTGTTTAGAAAACAACGTATTTAAAGCTAAATAAAAAATCGAAAGAGGATTCACTTTCATGAATTGTAGAAAAAGAATAGTTTAGTGAATATTTTCTTTATTTACAGCCTAAATATATGTACTTTTGACATAACAAAACATGAAACAAAAAATAATTTGTTTCAATTTATTTTCACAATTTTTAAGAGAGCCTAACCGTAGCAATACATTTTTTTAAATTTATTTTTACTGATATTTATTATCTGATATTATTTAATATTTTTATTTTTAATATAAAACTTAACAATAAAGACTATTTAACGGAAACGGCTGTTACTATAGAAATTATACACGATGATCTAAAATAACATTTTAACTGTTTTTATGATCATTTGAATATGGTATTTTAAGAATGTCAAACAGTTCCATCAAAATTTTCGAACAAAATTTTATCAACGTCTTTGTTTTTCTAGCCTCTATATTATTCCGACAATTATTGACGGCCTTGAAATTTATACTCTCAATGACATTGACCATGTTTGTGGTCTGGTTTATTAAACCAGTATTACTCGAGTCATAAGATTTTTTATTTCTCTGTCGAGTTTTCTTAGTCCCTACAGTCAGAATCCGAACTGTCTTGATCCTGCTAGTATTGTAGCTAACATGATTTAATGACTGGTCGATAACGTTAGTTCTTGTTAGTCTTGATGAGTTACACATTTTTTACATATCGCTACTAATTATAATTTTCTCAGACAGATTTCGCTTCATTTTTTATCAATGCATTCAGGGTAAATTGTACAAAATATACACTTATTGTACATAATGGGTATTTCTTGGAGAAATTTGTCGCCACGTCGATGCGATCAATACGGGAATCATTCCTCGAACGAAACTTGCCGATTTATGCTTTATTTACGACTAATATATCCTGCTATCACCATGAATAGCAGCAACAGGTTCCTGTTGCGCAATGCCGACAAAAAAAGAATTCCTCGTATCGAATGTGTTGCATTTCGCTTCGTAAGATTCTCTGGTTATCTCATATGACATTCTCGGAATATTAAATAAAGTTCATGCAATTTTTTATGCCAAGAATAAAATAATTTTTTGCAAATTTTTGTTTTATTACAAAATATATATATTTAAAATAATTATTTTTTATATTAGATATAATTTACCAAAAAAATGTAAAATTATATTTTTATGTTTACCGAGAATCCCAATTATCTTCGACTACGCGCGATTATTGAAATGTACTTCAACATGCATATGTAACAGTGTGCATAATTTCGAATCCTCAGAGATCCTAACGAAATGAGAAATTGGCACAAATGTGAATCTTGCCATGTCTTCACTTATTATTATTATTTGTACTTATTTTGCAGAATCTCTAGTCCTAGATTATTTTCATGTTTACATGTGTATATGAAAATACAAGATTTTAGAATTCCAGTTATTGTATAATTGCGCAGCTGATTGATAAAATGCTTGAAATTTATAAATTTGATGCACTGATAAAATCAAATTCATATTTTTTTAATGATATTTACTATACAGTGTAAATATCGTGTAACTGAATTTAACTGTTAAATCAGTTAATCGCAAATCCAATTGTTCATTATTTACACGTTAATTAATCTATTAACTAAAAAAGAAAAAAATTGAATGAGTTCTTCAAATTTCAAGACAATGGATGTGTGTTGTATGATTTATATAAATCAAATACATAGACCGGTGTTCATTGTCGATTCTTATTAAGATCTTAAGTAATGTCTTAAGATACTAATGCAGTTTCCTAATTGGTTCATCTTGAAGACGATCTTGAATATAAGAACCGATTATGAATACCGGCCATAATTTCTCTTTATACATCAGTGTTTTTTAATATTTAAAGGTATCAAGATATGCGAAGTCTTTATGGATTTATATTTAAGTGCGCATCTAGAATTAGATTTATAATTTTATATCGTTACTGTGTGGGCATAAAAGGTTCACGTAAACACACATTAAAAAAGCTTTTGTATTATAGCTTCAGTACTTAAAAATAAAATACTTTAAAAAAATTATAGAACCAATACAAAAAATTTTCTCTTTGAAAATATTGAAATATATTTTTAAACTTTTGTATAAATTAAATAAAAAATATTAAATCATTGTTTCGTATAATTTATTGATACTAAACATTTTCTTGAACATAAAAAAATGTAATAACTGCATTTTTGAACATGTTTATACAACAGTTTTAATGACTACAACATTTAGAAGATATCTTATTTTTTTTTATTTATATTAATGTCCATTCTCGCGATATATATACATATGACATTTGTGTTATTTAAAGCATTTAGAATCTAACTTCGAGTACAAACTGAAAAGAAAAAAAAGCATAAAGAATTTATGTTGTTTATGGTGTGTTGCACGGAATGATGAGGGACAAATCATGTGAGACCGACTTATGTAAAAACGCTCGATAATCTATGAGTATGATATAACATATCTTACGTTATATTACGGTAGAAGTTCCATATTCGCAATAATTGTTCTTGTAAATTATATATATATTTGCATAATCACGATACCTAAATATACAAAATTCATACTTGGATGTCGCGAATACACCAAAAAATCACAGACAGCAAGATAATTCTTAGGATTATCTAAAATAAAAACGTTGAAAATAAATTTTTACTTTTGTTACTATTGTTCATTTTTTGCGACTAAATGAGTTTTGTATTCACAAATGTGAAAACTGATATCAATGAAAATAAGTTTTGGATAGAATAGAAAATATGCGAAAGTGGAGCTTTTGCTGTATTTCCAAGTTTTTATACATTTAGTTACGGTCTTGTCGAATTAAAAAATGATTCAAAATCTGTTATTAACTATCTTGTGTTATTTAAATTCTTTGTTTGTAAGTTATTTTATATTTGATTCCAAACAATTATTAAATCAATTTATTTCATGAATATATCAATATTCGCGACTTGTGTCTACAATCTAGCTCTATCAATTATAAATTCGAAACGAGAGAAACTTAATGAACTTTCACTATAACTTTTAAGTAAACCGAAAGACAATTCGATTAAATATATATGTACATATACGCAAAAATATATATGATATATTCTAGAAATCGAAGATGTAATTTAATAAATGGGCAGGGTAAGAGAGAGAAGTTGAAAATAATGTAAATTATATAGTACATACGTGTACACACTTCACTGCGTTTGTAAGTAGTATAGTAATAAGTACATTTGGAAGTAGTGAGGCATGTAACCTAATCATGTAAGTTATTTGTTGGATTCATATATAACGCACATAGTACAAAAGTGTTTTAGCTTTATGTACTGATAGTTATGTAACATTAGATGTATTTGATATGTAATTAATTAAAAAAAGAAAAAAATAAATTATTCTGGATATGTACTATGAATCAAGTTGTGCATAAATTATTTCAATCATAATGTAGATGTGGTTTAAGTCTTTCTGAATGTTTATCAAATATTTTTCTATCGATATTTCATTATTATTGTTAAATCGTATTCATTAGTATTAGATAGTATAGATAGTACAGATTAATATTCCCTATATATAAATTATCAATATACACATATATATATATTTCACATCTTACTGATTTGTGAAAAGTGAATGTTTTTCACTTGGATTGTATGTTTGATTATGAACTACGAGAATAGTTACTTGCAAAACTTTTGCTTTTTTGATTTCTTTCTTGATTAAATTATTCATTTGGATATTTCAATATATCCTTATATAATAAAAATGAAGATAAAAACATAAACTCAATAATATTTTGTAAGTAATCTTTGATGAGAGCATTTGATTTGAAAATATATTTACAATCGATTTCTAAATTATAAATGGAACGAAAGAATAAGTTTATTTTTAAAAGTGATAAATAAAAAATTTATTTTTTTCATATTCGTTGCTCATATTTTAATATTTTGAGTAAAAACATTTTACATA